CTATAACATATAGCCTAGTAGTAGCTCAACCAATCAGAACGCAGCATTTACAGTGGACCACTAGCTAGATTTTACTAAAAGTAAATACACTAACAAAGTGTTCTTCTTAACTGTTACTTCATTAACAGGTGACCCTGGCCGTTTTCGTAAATTTTAACGAAAATTCAACTTGGACTCCAACGTCGTTCTTTGTAACACTTGAAACACGTATTTTTTGCCTTTTCGTAACTTAATCCAGGGAATTTATTACATCTATCATGACCGCCACTTTAGGGTTGGTTACCAATGGTGGCATCGACTATTAACAATGGCAAAGACCGTTTACGAAAAGGAAATAGGCAGCGACGACCCTCTCTCTCGATGATCATTCTCGACAATTACACGGAAAAATAAGGGACAGAGAACAGTCTGTCTTTCGGGTAAAACCACATACGGAAGTGGTGAGATGGAGTTGTGGGTAGAGTTGCACGCAAGAACTAAGCAAGGGACACTGACATTTAAAGCCATTTTGCCTAAGGAAGTTGTGCAGAACAACTTATTCACAATGCTTGCAGATACTCCTCTTAAAGTAGATAACATCCATTGAGCAACGTTTTGTGTATTCTTGCATTTCTTCCATTCAGTTTAAGTCAGAATTCCAGCAGGTATGTCGTCTTCTAATAGCCGTGAACGGTATTTTTTTTTTTTCACTTTACTGTTGTCCAAGCAGCCTCGTTTCCAATCAAATGTACCAGAGAACAGAGAACAGTCTGCCTTTCGGGTAAAACCAAATACAGTAGTGGTGAGATGGAATATTGTGGGTAGAGTTGCACGCAATAACAAAGCACGGGACACTAAACTTTAAACTGAGCCATTTTGCTTAAGGAAGCTGTGCAGAACAACTTATTCACAATGCTTGCAGATACTCCTCTTAAAGTAGATAACATCCATTGACAGGAGCCCATGCCATTGAGCAATGTTTTGTGTATTCTTGCATTTCTTCCATTCAGTTTAAGTCAGAATTCCAGCGGGTATTTCGTCTTCTAATAGCCGTGAACGCCATTTTTTTTTTACTGTTGCCCAAGCAGCCTCGTTTCCAATCAAATACACCATCGAATCGATGGTATATTGCTCGCATCTTTCAAATATGGTAAGTGCCAGTTGGTATGAAGAATTAGCCGCGGGACTGGAACCAATCAGAAACGGAGAAATATTTTGAATGATTAATAATAGAATTTGGAAAAGACGGGCGTGCAATTATTCTCTAATTTTACCCGTCACCATTTGATTACACATACGAATACTATTCAGCATGAAGTTGTCTGTTTCTTTCTTCATTTCACAGACTATTCAGTTACGTGACTACTGCTCGATATGTCAGCTTACAATCGATCTACTTATCGCTTGGAGTATCCGGTAGCTCACAGTGGTTAGAGTATCCGACTAATGTACGGAGGGTCGTGGGTTGTTGTAGACTGTCCTGGTTGTAGTTGAGATTTTCATGCATTCACCGAATGACCTTGCAATTGTGTCCGGAAATTTGCGATGACACAAAATGCCTAAAAAATATGTTGTTGCCATTGTAAAGTAGTAGTCATGATGGCTACAGTAGGTCCTAACCAATCAGAGCGCAGCAAATTTCGTCTCGACCAATCAGAATCGCGCATTTAGGTCAGGTGACTTATTGACGTCACAAATCAAGGTTTTAACCCACGTGACCCCATAGGAATAAAGAACACGCACACACAAGAGTTGAATCTCACATTCTTGACATAGTTTTAATGAACCGCGTAAAGCCCTGGGTACAAGCGGGACGTATATGACACCCTAGTGATATCACGCCCATTACAAATCTAATAACAGGTCGAGTTCATGTCCAATCCTCTCGTAGCCATAGGGATAACTGGATCGAGTGGCGACCTCGATGACGCGTTTGTCAAACACCAACCCATACTGCTTCACGCGCGGAACCACTTGAATTTGTTTCTGTTCTAAATCTCGTTGGAAATAATAAGGGGTGGTCAGGTTCAAATTGCGTCGAGACTCCTGGGGTGAATCCAATTCGGAGAGAATGTTGTCTTTCATGGTCTGAAAATTGAGAATGGCGGATCCACGGACGTTGAGCGTGAAACCACGTACCTTACACACGACTTTACCACCACGGGTCTGGTACCCATAATTCTTGGCGCCCCCCGAAACAAACTCGGTGATGACGTCTCCATCCAATTCGTCGGTCATGTCCCCGAGAAAATCTCCAGTGGCAATGCTGGGTTGACCGGAACGCCACTTGTACACCACACTATCTGTATCGTAGTAAAGGACTTGCTGTTGAAGGGTGTCCAGGGACTCGTAGAGCTTTAATCGAGCATGACAGGTGGTGAAAGCGGCTACGAAAATATTGGTCTTGGTGCCTTTGACAGCATTGTCTTGGACGCTGGTGTAGACAGCTTCCAAGATATCATCGGTGCAAAGGCGGAGCGTACTAAGGTCGAGGGAAGCATCCGAGATGAGACCGAACAAATGGGCGGGGTCTTGGACAGTCACGGTGGTGGGTTTGTTGATTCGCTCCCCGAATTTGCCCCAAAAGCTGTTCAGCATGAGCTTGGCCGTGGCTTTGCGACCGGGGTTCTTGGCAATGCTGGCAATGTCCAATCGGATGCCTTCCCGTTCCTGATAGCGAAGAATGTACTCGCGTTTCTGCTCGAGGGTCTGACACCAGCCGGGCCATCCCGCGGATTCTTGTTTCAACTTGAGCCACGTGTTGACATAATCGGCAAAAAGACCCGTTCGGCGTTGCTCGGGAGGAAAATGCCAGACTTCGTGAATCTTGATCAGCGTGTACCCCTTTTCGACAGCTTTGACCAATTCGGGTGTGCACCAGGTCCCGCGTAGTGTGCGATCCACATCGGAATGAGGGCAATAACGGGTTCGGGTCAACATGGGTTGAGCCTGCTCGGTCTGAACACAGGCACGGCAGAGAGGAAACGTGAGCTTGTGGCCGCTACGCACAGGCAGAACAGGATGGAACAAACCAGCAGGGGGAAGAATATCGACGGTGGCTAGACCAAAATAAGAGTCTAGGGACTGGTCAGCGGGTTGCGTGATGATCCGCGGATGCCCAATGGGGTAAGGACAGTTTTTGTTGACCCACGGGTACAGGGAGGTCACATCCACATAGCGTATTTCCTCCCCTTCTCCGGCTACAGCATGCAGAGCCACCGCACCGGTTCGACCTCCAAAGAAGGCTTCACGGGGTTCCAGGGGTGCCACCAAATCGAAGGAATTCAGGAAATGTTGAACAGCTTCATCGGCGTCCACTAATTGGTCCCATTCACATTCCCATATTTCAATGACTGTATAACCCGCTCGGAGCAGGGCCGTGCGTTTAGAGAGCGTGGCTTGATAGAGTTCCTCCACAGTTCGATCCGGTGTGGCATAATGTTTGGCGTTTCTCGCGGGATAACAGCGGGGACAGCCATGGTAGAGACAGCCGTGAAACTCGTAGACGGTGCGAGTCACAGGATCGTAGCCATCGACGAAATGACTGTCGACGCTGGTTCGGACCGATTGTTCGCCGCCATTGCGAACGTGACGAATGCGATCAGCACTAGCCCCCTCTTTGGGAAGGAGATGTTCCTGGTAATAGAGCCATTGGAGGGCTTTGAGGGATTGATTGACTTGGGCCCCTCGCCACCCTCCGAGAGGTTCCACAGCAATGGTGTCGGGGGTCAGATGATGCTTGCGCCAATACAAATTGCAGGCACTGGCGATGGTAATGCACTTGGCCATGGGATTGAAACCAGCCTGTTGTTCGAATTCCTCTTGAAAGGCTTCACACCCAGCTTTTAACAGAGCCACATCGGATTTGCAATACTCAATCATTTCTTGTTGGAAATGAAAAGGCACGTTCCGACGGACTTGATCCGCATGCCAACGAGTCAGTTCCTCTTTCTTTTTGGCCATCATGCCGTTGGGATCGTAAAACTCCAAATCAGGGATGCGGCCCACATACTGTTGGTGATCGGGGGTGTTGAACAAATGGGGAAAGAATCCCTTCTTTAATTCGGTCAAATTGAAGGTGCTGGAAAAAGAGGCCAGCGGCATAGGCAAGAAACATAATGAGTCAATGAATTTGATGGGTCCACTTCTGAACGATAGGACTTTGGCGCCCACGGTCAGTTGATCCACGACCTCGCGTTGTTGCTGGTAGAGTTCATGGAGAATAAACATGCCATCAAACCCTTTTAGATTGTGAAACACCACGAGTATCGTCCGCTCCTCCTCACAGTCTGGAACATCCGTGAGATCATCCAAATCGCGCAAAAATTGTAGGGCACAGTCCTCCCCGTCCAAGACATGAATGGTGGTGTCTACACTCGACGAATAACATAACAAATTAGCCACAAACACCCCTTCTGCATTCTGCATGGCTTCAAAATCTGCATAAACAAACAGGGGAGGGGGTGGCGCCACCATGCGACCTCCCCCCTCCTCTGTGGGTTCAGTCTCCTCGTGCTCCTCCACCATGGGTTGAATGTAACATTGATGGTTTTGGATGGACACCCATTCCTGACAGGCAGGGCATTTGGCGTACCCGCACCGGTGACGTTGGTTACGGACGACCGTGTATTGGGCTTGACACTTGAGACAGGTTTTGATGGATTGACATTGCTTGCTGATTTCATGATAACGTTTGCACTGATGGCCATAAAACTTGCGGTAACACAGACAGCAATACTCAGTGGGACGGGTACCCCGCACATACTCCGGACAATCAAAACGCCCACACGCGGAGCAGCGTTTCCCTTGACAAGTATGATTGGTCCGATCGTTGGTGTTGAACCCTCGTTCACAGTCCAAGCAATAATAGGAGCGGTTGACAAACGCAGGAAAGGACGTGCAGCCGTCAAAATGATCGTTGGATTTGAGTAAACGAATCTGATGAGGGGCAGTGGGGCCTTTGAAAATCAAAAAGAACGGTTTCATCCGGGTCATCACCAAGAGTTGGTAGTGAGACCCCAATGCTTGTTGAAATTGACGAAGCTCGGGTAGACCACAGGGACCCTCAGCGACTCCCGCTTGCCGATGAAGAGCCTGGGCTTGACGTCGCTGCACAGGTCGACCACGTTTGAGATTGTCCCAGTCTCGAAACTCGTCCACGCCTTGATCTTTATGGCAGTGGGCGCGCATGGTGACAATGGCACGGGCACAGCATAGGGTATCTCGGTTTCGAATGGTGACAATGCATCGCTTTTTCTGGTTGACTCGATCCAGGCATAAACGTCCCACATTGCGTTGTTTATGTCGACCAGACCCCGGGCCAGGCATGGAGACAAACACCACATCCACTTGGAACCCACGATCGGGGTTGAAGGCTTCATTGCTGTTTAATTTTCCCGCCAGGGTGGCCAACATCTCATCCAAACGAGCCGTACGTTGTAAAAATTCTCCCACAGTAAAATTGGCGGTTTGATACGCGTGAGTAAATCCATGCGCTGTAATAGCAAAGTTCACAAAATGATGGGCAGGTCGTTGCTCGCGGTCGAGTTCTGTTTCAATAGCGTGATGCAAGGCTTCCGTCAATGCCAGGCCAATATTATCCCCTGGACCAGCATCCCTCAATTGACGCAATTGCGCATTGAATTGCGCCCGCTCCACTACATTGCGCCAGCGGCGTCGTCGACCAATAGGTTGCATGGTAAATTGGAAGAGAGGGCCTCGAGCGGGAACGGCTCCACCCATTTGTTCCCACCGGTCATAAGCGCGGTTTAATAGAGCTTCTTCTTCTTCATCACTGTCAGGATACCAGTGGTCCTCCGCCATGACGGAGGAGACAATTTGAATTTTCCCGCGCCAGACGCGGACTTTTATAGACCTAAAAACACGTGATCAGATGAACAGGGATTGGTGGATGGGGCTCAGGTGAGAGTCAGGTGAGACTCAGGTGAGAGTCCATGAAGGGGATGGGGAGGGGTTGAATAGACAGAAGGAGGATTGAGGGGGGTGCCCCCCATGGGTACAGATTTTTTCTCAAGTCTCCTCTGAGCCTGGGGTCGAGATCGCTGATTGGCGGAGAGACCTCTAGATATAGGCCAGCGTCCAGACCAGACGTCAGTTGCCATCGAGACATGCCTAATCGAGATCCAGAGAAAGTGAAAGAGGCTAAACACCGGTGGTACCTGAAACACCGGGAAGAGATTGTGAAACGGAAACGGGAGAAGCGGGTGGCTCAAAAAAAACTCAAACCGCCCAAGCCACCCAAACCGCCTCCGACCCAGGAACAGTTGGCCAAAGCCCGAGAATTGAACCGGTTGGCCTGTAACCGATACCGAGCCACGCACGGAGACCAGATACGGGCTTTGAACCGTCAATATTATCATCGACACCGCGACCGGCTTATCCAGCAGCAGCGGGACCGTCGTGCCCAGAACAGACAGACGCCCAGTCCCTTTAGAAAATTGCAGGCCTTGGCAGACGTGTGTGCTTCGCGTGTATTGGAGCTGGATCATGGATACGTCAGGATCGCGCCAGCCCCCCAAACCCAGGAAAAAACGGGACCCTGTGAAAAACAAAGCACAACAAAAAGCGTATCGGCAACGCTTGTATGCCAAACCCAACGGCATAGAGGATGTCAAGGCCCTTCACCGTCGCCGCTACCATGAACGAATGGCTCGGTTGAAAGTCAGTGGTGAGTACGAGGCCTTCAAAGCTAAAAAATCTCAAGAGGGCTTGCAGCGCTACTACGGCATGAGCAAGGAACAGCGGGAGAAGGTCAAGTGTAAAAACGCCCAGTGTCAGAGAAACTGGCGGGAGAAAATGAAAGAGCGAGGGACCTACCAGGCTTATCTACAACGGACCAATGCCCTTCGACGAGAGCAGGCCGCCCAGAAAAGAAAAGAGTTGGGCGAGGAAGGGTGGAAAGCTCTACAGAAACAGAGGTACAACAAGCGAATGGAAGCCATTCGACGTCGAGAATGGTCCTGGTTGGACGAGGCATTAGAGCGTCCCTTTCCCCTCCCGTGGTTGCCATTGGACTTGCCCCTCATGGTACCTAATGAGGACAGTATGCATACCCTTCGCGCAGAGGCTTTACAAAAAATGGACTCGTACTTGTAAGAACAATGAAGTTTAATTAAATCATGTGTATTGGGCTATTGAACATGGTGTCTTGTTTTTTTATAACTAAAGGGGGTTTACATGCCGAATCGAAGTTTAGCTTTCATAATGCGTCTCACAATACGCTCTGTTAAATTTTTACTACCGGGGAGTTGATCAATCTTGGCAATCATCTTGCGATCCGCTGCCCATTTGTCTTTCAATGTCTTGGCTTTATCATAGTCAATGTCATGGGCTTTGGCAATCCTGTCCAACCGGTTGATACCGGGATCCCCACGGGCCAATCGTTTTTTCAAATGAGTGCCAGGGCCCATATACTGATAACCGGGCCAATGAAATTCAATACCGGTCTTGTTAAGGAGGTTCTGCACATCAAATAACTTGCCGCCCCGTTGCGACCGTCGTCGTCGCTTGGCTCGGGAACGGGAGGCCGCAGCACGGCGTTTGCGTCCCATCTTAGGGGGTTTTCCACGATTTCCAATCCAAGGCTTTCTTGGCCCAACCTGCGGCTTTCTTTTTGGCGATACTCGTAGCTCTCTTTTTGGCCGCTTCTTTGGCTTTTTGTCTGATTTTGCGCTTGACGGCTAAGGAGGGGGTGTCCCAAGGTGTCGGGCCCACGTCCTCTGAAAAGGGCAATTCTTTGGCCAACTCCGCACTGGTCGATGGGGTGGTAAACTTGAGTTTCTTTTTAGCACTGGGGGTGAACTTTGGCTTGGGCGGGACAAGCGGTTTTCTGGGTCCACGCGTCGGGGTGCCTTGTTTTATACCCTGGGTGGCCTTGACCAATTGCGTAAACCAGGCTTGCATGGGACCCGCTTCAAAATCATCGTCGCCCGGCGTCGTGGCCCCGGCAGCAGTCACACCCCCAGCAGCAGCTCCAAACGGTTGGCGCACTTTTTTAGTCCAATGGCGTAATTGACGGCTGACGGCTTTGAGTTGAGGCCGTTTCCAGGCATCAGGGACATCACTGGTCAAGAGGACATGTTGTTTGGCGGCTAAATCGGCGGCTTTGGTCAAGCGGGTGTCTTCCACCAATTCTTGTTTGTACTGGTCTCGTAATTGTAAAAAAGCCGGGGCGTTGTTCACCGTGGTGCTCACCATCTCGGGTTCCATGGTGCAACTGAGGGGTTTTCTTTAACGCATGCAACGTTTATAACATCGGTAGAGTTCCGGCCAGAGGGCACCCCCTTTTTGAGCCATCATGATGGCGCGTCGGCGTTTGACAGAATGAGCGGGTTTAGCCATAGCGCGTAAACTCTGAGCGTGAGGTTTGAGTAACGTGATGGTGTGTCGGGAACGGGGCACCGTGCCACGGAGGGTGTTCATCACCAATTCACTGACAGCATTGATCTGATCCGCATTGGCCATCCGCAACAATTCTTGTCGTTTGTGTTGATTGGCTTCTCGTAAGACACTTTTTAAGAACGGGGCTTGACGTTCCATGCGCCACCCCATGATGAATCTTGAGTTCAGGCAAGGACCAAGGTCTATTTATGGTAAAAATGGCGCCACACCGACCACACAATTCCCCATGATAATGCGTTTGCATGTGATGTCGGCACCGGGCACACAAAGCGGCGTCATACTGGTCATCCCAATCCAACGCAAACGTGACGGCTTTGCGTTTTGGGCGTCGTCGTTTAGTCTGGGCGTCGTAGTCGGATTCTGGGTTTGAATTTCCGGAGATACAAAGGCGAGAGAGCCATTGCCAACAGCGGGAGTTTAGCACCGCGTTGGCGTCCACGTCGGCGGCGTCGTATTCGAGGGACATAACGATGTCGACGACCGTTGGGTCCACGGACCATCCTTAATGGGAATCGTGTGTCCAACAAGCGTTTCTTTTATAGCGTGCATGGAGCTTAGAAATCCCATCCCTTTGCGCGTCTCAACATCCGCTGGACCCGTCGTTGGGCCAGTCGTTGATTGGCTGCACTCATCTTGCCCACTTTCTTTTTCTTTTTCTTCTTCATGAGGACGGCGGCAGCCACCGCTGCGGGGATGAGAAACGGGAGAATACCCCCGCGTTGTTGTCGGCGTCGTTTTCGTCGTCGTGGACCACAATGCATAATGATGATGAACTGTCCGAAGGAGGACACCCCTTGAGTCTTTTATAGTTTTTTTTACATAATGGAACAATTAAAGGATTCCCCCGCGTATTTTTTCCGTTTGCCGGAAGCCACTTCTCGTCGACGTTTTTCGCCAATGGCGATGGCACGCTTGGTTTGATGATCCCCGATGGCTTTGGTGATCCCATAGCCGGCTTTGAGAATCCCTAGGGGCATGCTGACCGCAACACCCCCTACTTGACTCACACGCCGTCGTCGTTTGGCGGGTCGTCGTCGTGTCGTTCTGCGTTGGCGTTTGCGTCCCATCGCGTATCGACAACGGCCACACATTTTTTGGGACAGGGGAAGAAAGGTCCCTGTTTTTATATACTACGACCTCGTCCACGGGCTCGGCCCCGTCCGCGTGCTCGGCCACGGCCCCGTCCTCGGCGTGGTGGTCTGGGTGGACTTGGGCTGGAGGTTCGAGTGGACGTGCGGCGCACCGAGGGACGACCCCCCTCTTCATACACGGTCGTCACCGTATTGGTGTGCGTGATGTTGCGAATCCGTCGACCTCGTGCCCGTTCTTGAGCATCTTCATTGAGCAAATCCAACCGTCGCCTTAAGCCTCGCCGTCGATCGTCATCATCATCATCGCCATCCTCGTCATCGGACGGAGGGGACGAACCTGGGGACGGTGGGGAGGGCACCCTGGGGCGCCGTCGCGGTTGTTTGGCAGCGATGGTGGGGCGTCCCGTGGGGGTCGTTGTCGTCGAGGTGGTAGTCCTGGTTCCTGCCCCAACACTGCGACGGGAGGTGGAGGGGCGGGCAGGGGCGGTGGTGGTCGTGGCCGTGGTGGTAGGGCGTGTTCGGGTGGACGTGACGGGTCGTGGTCGACTGGTGGTGGTGGTGGTGGGGCGGGTTGGGGCTGCCGTGGTGGTGGTGGTGGCAGTGGTGACAGGGGCTGTACCAGTGCCTGCCACGGGTGGGAGCGTGAAGGCATTCAAGGCATCATCTACATTGACCGGGTAGGTCAAATTAAAATCGTCAATGTCTTGCTGCAATTGGGCACGATCCACGGGTCGAGACAATTCGGTCACCATGTCCGTCATGCTGCTGAGATCTCGGAGGACTGAGGGGGAACCTACCCCCGCGGGCGTGTGAGCGTCCATGCGAGCAGCTAACTCAGTATGTTGTCCGCCTTCTCTTTGCCGCCGTTGACGTTCGCGTTCTCGTAGCAGCGCGTTTTCGATCGGCAGGGACATCCGCCCGCAAGGTGTGGACTTGGGCTTTGCCTTCTCGGGGCGTTAAATGACTCCACAAACGGTAGCGATCATCCGAGGCTGGATGTACATCCAACATCAAATAGCCAAAAGGTCGAGCCGTGATGCGTTTAAATAGGCGCAAGACTTGACGCCATCGATCTGGAAAGGCTTGCAATAAAATCGTCCGTATCCCTGTTTGATCCCGGGGGTTTTTGAAGGCCACAATGTAATGCGCGTTGCGATTGATGGTCTTGGAAAATTTGCCCGGTGG